AAAAGTAGTGGGCGTGTTATCTAAAAGATAGCGCCCGCGTCATTGGTGGAAGTGATGTAAAAGAGTTCGGAGCGACATGCTCGCAATTCTCATCCCTTCCCATCCACCTGTAAACATAACGCCCTCTCACAATCTTCCACCAACGGATGCGCTCTACGCCTAGCTTCAGTGCCATAATGGGCTCAGAAATACTTTCGTACCTAACAAATTTCTCATTCCATCTCCCCGAAAACTTGCAGAACTTCTCGCCTTTAGCGCCTATCACTTCTCCTGACAGGTCCTGAAAAATGTTCTCGTGCTTTGACCATGGAAAAGATTTCCGCAGTGGTTTTCACAAGGGTCATAGGTGACACTGAAGCCCGCAGTGCGCTCTATACGGTTACGAGAAATCACCTAAAAATATTTGGAATATGATCGGTTGGTCGACATGAGACGCGTACCGTCGCGACGCGGTGCTCCACAAGTTGTCAGTCTGAGATGACAGTTTCCTTTCAATTTGTTTCTTTCGTTTCTCGCTCCTGGCCTCCTAGTGCCCAATGTTTCTTCCCGTACATGTAATTGATACGTCGCAACCGGTCGGGACCATGTCACGAGGCGCTATTGAACCCGTCTACTGCTGCGTAGGCGCTGTTCGGCAACGGGGGGTATTTTGCACTTTCGCTACCCGTCGGCCCATCTAGACAGCCTCTTCCCGTGTTGAGAGGTTTTACCGTGATGCCTTGACAAGCTGGTTTTACCAGAGTGAGAACTGTAAATCGGAACTAGTGAAGCAACGAAAGTGCAAAATGCCCCTTCCCTCCGCCCGCTTCGCGTTCTATCAAAAGTGAGCCGATCTAGGTAAAAGACCACCAGTAGCAGAAAAACCAGGGATGGGTTGATGCTGCCGAAACGCCCGCGAACGATATCAACTGTGCTCATACGATGCTCAGGATCCACTGCAGCCAGGGCTCTATCTAAGGCATTTCCTATGGTTTCCTCTGCTTCTTTTGACCGTCCGAGTTATTGCTCTCGGCATTTTGCACTTTGCTACTAGAGAGAGCTATTTCATGAGCTCACAAGGGTTGACAGGTTTATCATGGTAGCTCGACGAGCCTACTCTAGCTTAACAAGAGTTCACAGGCTTTACCAGAGTGAAACCTGAAAACCGGAACTAGTGCAGCAGTGAAAGTGCAAAATGCCCCCCTGTCCCCCCGTCGCCGAACAGCGTCTTTTCACCATGGACATCTGGACAGTGCTGCCAAATAGGAATGGCCTTCAAATAGGGCTGGTACACCCTGTTTGCTCATTAGTCGCAGAAGTGACCGTTGCCTTCACCTCTCCTCTGAACTAGCCAAAAATGGTTCTCTGTTGGTTGAGCCAACATTGATTTAGCCAAAAATGTTCTGTTTCACTAAGGCATCCCACCGGGGGCACGTTCTGCTGTTGGGGAAAATTTTTGCGAGTTATGCCCCCTTTCCTCAAGTTTCCTCCTGTGGCTTGACCCACTTTACCATACCTCATTCCATCTACATGACTAAATTCCTCCCCGTCTTCCTGTCACTTTTTCTTACCAGTTTGTTTTTCAAAAAATACTGCCTTTTTCCCCAAAAACACTGTCGAGCGGGGCGGAGGGGATGGGGGGGGGGGGAGAAATGGATAGAAGTAAGAGCTCACCTTATTCTTATCTACGTAAATGGTAGCGGATACACCGCTGGAGCATTTCACTTTGATCGTTCCCTCGTGATACAAATTGCGCTGTTCTGGGGCATAGATAAGATTCTCGATGCGGGTGGTAATCTGGAATGGCACACTGGTGTTCACATGAATGTAAGGA